AATGGAAACCCTATAAATATATTAATTGATTTTTGGATTTTAGTAAAAAAATAAAGGTTTGTTTCATTAGAAAAGTATATGACTAAAATGTATATTTTTTGAAATACATTCACTGGCACGAAAAATGGGCACCTTAAAACTTTGATGTATTTTAAAGGTTAATATATTTTATTTTAATGGGCCGATTTTGATGATTTTTTAAGCAGTGTATTGCCAAATTATTTGACTTTTTAGTATCTTTTTCTAAATTAAAAATAAAACTCCCCATCTGTCAATTATACGAGGGAAAACAAAATGGTGATATTTTGGTGAAAGTTTGAAACACCCTGTGGAATATGTTAAAAAAGCAAGAAATTTAAAAATCATTTTATCATCTAGATACACCTTTTCTCGATGGTTTGCTTTTTGGTTCATCTTATTAGCTTTATTTTTGTTGGAGATATTCGTTTTTGAAGAAGACACTAACATTTTTTCATTATTTTTACATTAAGACCATACCTTGCTTTTGGTCCTAGTTAACAGATCTAGTAAGTGCGGGTCACGAAGCAAGCATTCTTGACATGATGTTTACTTAATTTAATCTCCTTCGTATAGTCCGTTAATTAATATGTACGTACGTTCCTTAGGTGCAATTCATGATAAATTTGAAAAGCTGGCAAACGGCAGTTTCTTAGCGATAAACTTACAATAAGTCGATCGTCTCGATTAGAAGTTCTCATACGAAGGTTCCTTGACGTCTAAATTGAAGTCCTCATGGACGTGGTCATAATTCAAAAACCACTCAGTATACTCTATGGTATTAAGGTATTTTTGGAACCGAAATTTTATAGCACATTTACTGAACTAAACAAATATAAAACATTTCATTTAAAAAACTAAATCTTAAGTCTAAAAATATATTTGACCCACTCTCTATACATATAAAAATATTTTTGAAATGCGAAATACCATTAAACACATATTTTGTAAATGATTTGAAGTGAAAATCTCAAATAGGAATCCTGATACAGAGCTTTTTCGGAACACGGAGCCATCTTGTATGTATGCATTTGTATATGTGTGTTTATTTAAATAGTAAAGTGACAGCAACGAATTTAAATGGGTAAACTTTGTAAGATATCTTATTAACAATACAATGCAAAAAGTTTTAACATTTGTTTGGTTTAATCGTCTTCTTACAGTACATTCACTCACATGTACGTTCCTTAACTGCAATTCATTATAAAAAAAACTGGCAAATTCAAAAGTTCTCATACGAAGGTTCCTGGGCGTCTAGCATATGAACTTGTCTCGAGGAAGCGACTGCACTGTGACTGTACTCTGTACTTCGTGCACACCTTAATCTGTTAGCGACATAGTTTTGATCTTTATTATCCTCAATTAAATCAGCTGTAGCGGATTCAACTTCTGGACTTATAACCATCTCTGCTAGATTACTTGGAAAATCCCTTATTTTTTTGAATGATAAACTTGTATCTCTCCCCAATAAGGAGTTAAGGCGTTTCTTTTTAACACAACAGTATGGTGTTATAGATGAATAAAAAATAGACAGAGACGCTCATATTATCCGTTTTGTCCTCCTTGGGCGCGTCATCATATCTCAGCCAGGTGAGCCAGCGCGCTGCGCTCGAGGGGGCCATTCCACGGGGCTCTCGGGGCTGTCACTCCCCGCGGCCGGATAATTGGCCCACCCCGGGAGTCCCGCCGAGGGGGGCCACCGCCTGTTTGTTTATCGTCAAGGCAACAGCCCCTTTCTTACGGCAAACGCGAAGAAGGTGATACAGGGAGGGACTGAGATGAAGCTGATCGGCTATCGATATCATTTGGAGAAAAATTGTGGAAAATAAAAATACTTTTTGAAGAATTACTTAAGAGTCTATTACGGTGTACTTTCGGGTGGCTCTCAGGGGTCGGGTAAAGCGGTTGTGGGACTGAAGGAAATGTATATTATATTTCAGAAATCTGCCTAAAGGATGCTTCACGCTACACCGTAACGGGTACGAGCCGTGCGTCGGTGAAGACACGGCCAAACATTGTCAAGTGTTCTTTACACATATACATTCATGCTAGGCCGAGCACTATCCGAGCTTCGCCGGAACTCGTCCGTGCCCCGTCCCAGACATGTCGGTGTACATTTTTTTCTCGGATCCGCTACGTTCCCGCCACGTTGCGGAAAGCATGAATGTACTTTTCCTGGTGCCCCGACTGCAATCTGCAGTCATGATATAAACAAAGTACACTTTTTATCATGTCTGTAGTAAGTATTAGTGAATCTTACAGCAGTATTTGACGACAGGGTATGCGTAAAACTGGACAATGAAAGGATGCAATGACAAGATAGATCCTTCATCTTTTCCTTTGAGCAGGTGTTTCCACTGCAGGTGTTGTTCTTTATTCATCAACTGCAATTGGTACCAATTCCAATTGCGAGAACTTTGGCATTGCTCGTATTAAATCTTCGTGTGTCTATGGGGCTGTGTTTTCTAATATACTCGGAACTAATACGAACCCCGTTATCAACTCGGTGTAGCATATACAGAAGGATCGGACGTGGCTCGGTGTCTACTTGTACTGTGAATCATCCTTTTAAACCCTAAACTTATTATCATATACCATCAGCTCATTTGCTTCGATTTTTTTCAGTAATAGGTATTCCAATGAGGCCAGTGCAGAAATTTAGCAACAGTCTAGTTTTTTCATATTTGTTTATAAATTTGTAAATCAGAAACAATATAAAATAATCTCATACGTACATTTTGTATTTTATTAATATAATTATATAGAAGTACGTACATTATGCAGTGGCATTAGTAATTTGTTGATTTCTTCGTGGTCTGTGTCTCCAAAGGGTTCTGAATACTATAGAAATTTCTGTGATGCTCCAACCCCAAGCGTAACTGTTAATAATGTCTAAGGTGATTTCAACGATAATTTCCATAAAAATTCCAGCTTCATTTTGAACTATTTTCTATAAAAATACTGCAAATTATCATAAACTATTAAACAAAAAGTAAAGAATGTCATTCTTTTATGTCAAAATGGGTGACTTAAATTCTTGTAACATCTATGACAGTAACTCAAAATACAGTGTCATAAAAAGTATTCTAATTTTTACCTATTATTTTGCATTTTTTTCCTTAAGAAAAATTGAATTATACCGGGTGCTTAAGACGCACGTGGCTCACCTTTATAACTTTTTATTTTTTCAATAAAAAAAACGAGATTTTGTAAGTTAGTATCTATACTAATATATAAAATCCTTAAGTGACTGACATACTGATTAATCACGATCCTGCTCAAACCACTCAACGTAAGAAGCTCAATTTTGGCATACAGGTTGATTCTAGGGTGTAGAGGTTCGATAAGAAGGGATTTTTCGAAATTCCAGTTCCAAGAGGGATATAGTTATATTTTATTTTGTTTTTTTACATATTTTAAGATTTTTTAAAAATGTATATAGGGTGTTTCGAAAAGTCTGGTCATTGATTAATCACGACCCTGCTTAAAGCGCTTGACGTAAAAAGCTGATTTTTGGAAAACAGATTGACTTTAGGGTGTAGAGGTTCGATAAGAAGGGATTTTTCGAAACTCGAATTCTAAGTGGGTGAAACTATTCCTCAAATATTAAAATATTTTTTTATTTAAAAAACCGGCCTTAAACACGTATATTTTATTTTGTTGTTTTACATATTTTAAGATTTTTTATAAATTTATACAGGGTGTTTCTTAAAAAAATTTGACCATTGAGTAATCACGATTCTGCTTAAACTGCTAGAGGTTTCAAGCTGATTTTTGGCAAACGGATTGACTGTGGGGTGTAGAGGTTCGATAAGGAGGGGTTTGTCGAATCTCAAATTCTAAGAGGGTGAAAACGCCACTCAAATATTACAATATTTGTTATTTAAAAAACGGTTAGTCTTTCGGGAACACGCTTGGACAAGCATACCTAATTGATTTGGTTTTTTCACATATTTTGAATTTTTTTAAAAAATCATACAGGGTGTTCCAAAAAGTTGAGTAATTTCTTAACCACGATTCTGATTAAACTGCTTGACGTAAAAAGCTTATTTTTGGCAAACGGATTTTTAGAAAGTCAAATGAACGAGATGAATAACCCCTCAAATATTACCAAGTTATACAGGGTGTCCCAGAAATAAGTGCAAATATTTTAACTGGTAGTATAGTTCTACCCCAGAAACACGCCTATGAGGTTTTTTTCGCGAAAAAAAAATGCATTTATTTCTGGGACACCCTGTATAATAATATCGCCATATTGTTTTTTCTCATGCTGACATAAATGTGAGAAAATTTTATCCAGTTTGTATGTTAACGGAAATTCTTGCTTTGCTTTATCATCACCATTACAAATGATTAATTCGACGCGAACGAAGTCGCTGCATGGTACACGCTAGTTTGACAAATAAATAAAGCTGTCTCTTTAGTTGTCTGTTTTGCGTAAATATTTTTTAATTCTCTTTCGTGTCGATTGCTGATTGAATTGGAGCCAAAAATGGCTCAAAACGAAATAAGTAAATTACCAACAGATATTCAAGCTGAGGCGACAAACGCCATATCCAAACTACTTCCATTTGTATCCCGAATAACTTATGAAATGAAATACAAAAATTTTCAAAAATGGAAGCAATTAAAAAACGTGCGACAAGAAATAAAGTTTTTAACCTATCCTCGCTGTTAAAGTATCATTTAATCTACCCTTCCGGTTAAAGTACTATTTTATCTAGGTACTATTTCTGATAGATATAAGGCAATTTTAACAGTTTCTGTGGAAAACAGTATTGCAATATAATTTGACGTATCCTTTCTCCACTTGAAAAGTCAACAGTATACTATCACATAATTTAAAGAATTAAAAACTCGAAATAAAAAAAAAGAAAAAAAAATCGAACAAAAAAAGATGAACCAAAATAAAAGAATACAAATCTTCCGATCACTTTATTAATAGTACCTACGCCATTTGACTTTATAATTTTCCGTTTCAGATCACGAAGCTGAAGATCGACAGCAACCCATTTGCTAAAGGATTCCGAGACTCATCGCGACTGACAGAATTCGAAAGGTATGCATCTGGACGGAATTCCTATTAAAGGAAAGGGATATGAATATTAAACGCATGCCAGCGAGACTGTTGTGTTGCTGGCTTTCTTTTGTCCTTTGTTGTTCCCTGTTATCGAAGTCTTAATCAAATACTAATCGTTTAACCTTTAGAGACTTTACAGATTGATAGTTTTCAATCTGTGCTATCATATCATAACCTTAAATTGATTTCTTTTTTATAAATTCATCCTCACAATTAAGGTGCATTTACACGAGCTAAGTCAACTGATCAAGTACTACATTCGCTGCGAAAGCATGTGTAAACACTTGAGAACATTTTTTTTTAGAATAAAAACACAAGCGTTTTAAAGGAAAATATTAAATTATTGAGTTAAAGAGTTAACAAAATATTTTCAATTGTCACTTGCCCACTACACAGTGTGTTGTAAAATCAAATGTACAAGGTGGGCCAAATTGGACGTTTTTAAAGGGATAGACGAAATTTATATCGGGGTCTGGAGCTCAAGTTTTATCAAAAACATGATGGTGAAAACCGCACATTGATATCTGTAACCAATTCGGTGTTAAGGGGTGTTTTTCAAAAATGTGCATTTTTAACAAATCGCTGTAACCTTTTTGCTAATATGGAAAATTTTGTATTTTTATGAAAACATTTCCAAAGCACCTTTTTACGTAGAATTTAATGATTTAAGTATATATTTTTTTAAATTAATAATTGAAGAATTATCAACAGGAAATTTGATTTTTATATGAGACACTCTGTATATTTTTAATTCAATTGAAAATAATTAAAAATTACTTTTTCAAAAATATAGCATACTTGATATTTTGCTCGATTCCTCTACGAGATATAGAGTTTTTAAAAATTCGCCCACTTTGAATAAGTAGGTTTTGAACGGCACCGGCTGTAATGCAAAAAAAAAATCTAGCTGTGAGCAGCAATTAAAACGAAAATAATATTGGCAATTCAGAGTTTTATAACAATTTAAACTATATTTAACAACATCAACACATTTAAATTAGCTATATCTAATAACAATAAAAATAAATAGCAAACCAAGACATGAGATTTTGCTACAGGCGTTCGACATATCGACCGTCTTCTGTTATGGACAGACGGGACCGTTTTTGAACATTTCTTGCGAATTCATTAACTGAGTGGGGGTGAAAGATACCCTCGCATAACCGCTAAGTACTTCTAATTATTGTCTAGATTATACGGGTAATTTAATAAATAAGGACCTTTATTCTTCCGCAAAGATAAAAATCCATAGGCGATAAGTCCGGCGGTCTCGACAGCCTGCAAAAATTTGCTGATAACTTCAGCTTTCTGAGGCGGTGTCTCGTCTTGCGGGAAAAATTTGTTTTCGAGTTCCATTAGGGGCAGATCATCAATAAGGGGTCCAAAGCCTACTAGTTAAAAGTGGCAAACTTTTAAAAATTCTGTATTTCCAAGGGGACTATAATGAAATATCAAGTGTGCTATATATGTTTGGAAAGTAATTTTAAGACCCTTTCAGTTAATTAAAATATATATGGTGTCCCAAATAACAGGTATCGATGTGCGGTTTTCACCATCATGTTTTTTCATTGATATTAGTTTTCGTCTATCTTTCGACCCACCCTGTACATAAGTAAAAAAAAATATATCAAAAAGAAATTGTTTATAATGTTTGTCCAATGAGTCAGTGAAGATTTCAACATACGCCTTCCAAATAATAATAGTAAAAACAACTGTCATTTTCATGTAATTCTCTCGCTTGACAGCCTTTAACAATAACTGTGACATTTGACAGCGTATACCATGTTGGTAACACGTATTAAGCTTCATTCAGAGCCTTGAAATCAGTGGAATAAATTAGTAGTTTCAATTAGCCGTAGAAGTTTGAAGTTTGTTCACCTAATTTTAATGTAAGCATTCAGAATTCAGAACGTCGAATAATTAGTGGTAGTACTTTTCAATTATTGGAAAAAGTTAACAAACTTTTGACTTTTCCACTAATTATACTTCAAAATTTGCGAGGAATGTCATTTTGGCCTTTGATTATCACCCGTCAAGAAAAATTTTGGTTAGAAATCAAAAGTTGATTGTTTTAGAAGCTAAATATTAGGCTTTCTCTATGGATACAACTGATTAACGCCAGCTGTTGCTAGGATATTCTATTAATTCTAATTGTGTTTTTGAACATTCTGAATAATCGTAAACTAAAAAGTATAAAGTGTAATTGAAACCACTAATTTATTCAACTAATTGCGAGGTTCTGAATGAAGCTTTAAACAGTTTGATTTTTTTTTAATTCGAACAAAGCTATTCTAATTAGACCAGTTTTTCTTACAGAGAGACCATGGAGTCCATGCTGGCGGAACAGCACTACTTTCGCTCCCCCTTACGACCGTTCGGCGAACTAGACACCCACAACAACAACCTCTCCTTAGAAGAAAAAGCCATCCTCGCAGCCAGATCTCAGCTGTTCCTCCGAGCTGCAGCTGCCGCGGCTGGACCTTACGCTCCCCTCATGGGCACACTCTACGGAGCAGGAGTCACCTCCCAAACACCTCCAATGAACCCTGTAGTCCTTTGGAACCAATGGGCTGGTTTGGGACCTTCACTGTTAGCTGCGCAGCATCAGCATCAACTGTTGGCTGTAGCCAGTGGGAGTGGTAGTGGTTCTCAACAGCAAATCAGTGCTCAGTTGGGTGGGAGTATGAATTCTACGTTGGCTAGACCTCTTGCGCAGCATAGGTTTAGTCCGTACGCACCTCCGTCGAGGAGTAGTCCAGATACAAGCTTGAGAGACGATAGGGATAGTCCTAGTAGCCCTTCTTAGGGTATTGGTGTTGTTGGAAGTTTAGGGTGTTTGATAAGTGTGATGAATTTTGTTTTTAAGTTATTGTAAGTGATTTGTTGAAGCTTAAAGAAACTTAATTTAACTCTGTAACCTTTATTAACAAAATTCATCTTTACTTATTAGATCAGCCTTTTTAAGGAGACACAATGTGATATATTGTAATATTTGAGTATTATAAATAAATAAAATTATTGTTTTTCAATAAAAAAATATGGAATTTGCTAAATTTAAAATTTAGTCTATTTTATGAATGTGGATCATGATTTTTTTAGTTTTAAGGACTCTAAAAAGAATGTATTATTTATTTTAAGTTATTACTTATTTAATTTATGGCCGGAACCCAATATTTTACGATTGTAAAAAACTATACGAAATATAGATAAAGAATAATGGTTTAACACTTGTCATATTTCAAATTCTTTAAGTTATATAGCTTTTGGTATCACTATTTAAGGATAATAGCATATGCAAAAAACTTTCCACGATTATGTATACCTTATCATTTTTTTGGGTATAATTTCCATATAACAAGCTATAGTTCATACCAAAAAATAAACTTTTAGTCACGTGATTAAGCTTGACCGCCACATTGTTGCCCCCTTTTGCATATTTTCTTTTAATCAAAATATTTTAGGAAACAAAAATAAAACAATCCTAAATATATAAACAGTTACTATTTACATCAACAAAACTCACTGTCCTAACAGCACTTAAGGGACATACAGGGTCAATACTGTTACTTTCCCGTTCAAAATATTTTAATAAAGTTGCGATGATTTTTTACGGCTATTAAGCTATCTTGCACAATTCGCACTAAAAGAACAATGTTCGACCATATTAGAAGGAAAAGAGTAGTTGCACTTTCCCAAATATTTTCTGCCAGTTTTTACAATCTGTTGAATATTGGCAGATTGCAGAGCGTTTCAGTTGAGTTCTGTCCGTCGACCTGCGAGGTTCGAGCGTTGCGTCCCAGCACAGAGACGGATTGACAAAAAAATTAGCGCCTTATTGTGTACTGCTATTGGTTGTAGTAACAATTCAAAAAATAGTGCTTTGAGTTTTTTTTTGAGAGTCATTTGTGATCATGTTTGTGTTCAGGTTAATTTTCTCATGACTGATTACTACTTAATAATTTGATATTATTATCATTTAAACCTCAATTTTTTATCGCTTTTACTTTTGACAACCATCCCTTGCTTGCTGTTTAACGAACTGAACCATCATTGAACAAAAAATTGCTAGTACCGAAAAAAGCCTGGAAAGCCCGGTTCCTTAGAAGCATGGTACCGAAATTACCGGTTCCGAAAAACAGCTCCGGTTCCGAAAACGCTATAACGTACCATAACCATGAATCACCCTATACAGGGTGAGCCTTAAGTAAGTGCAAATATTTTTAGGGGTAGTATATTTTGGCCCCAGAAATATAAAAATTTTCCTGCGTATTTTTTTTCTTGAAAAAAAAATTTTTTTTTACTTTTTAGTTAAAAAACATAATTTCTTGATAATATGGTAACTAGGATTCAGAGCCGGAAATTCCCGGTTCTTTTGAGGTATCAAAGAACCGGGACTCGAAATTATTAATTCCCGGTTCTTTCGGTATCTTCGGGACTCGGTAACAATAGCTAAAAAATTATTATTTTATTACGTGAGAAAATAGTGATGCTATTTCTCATTGTTCTTGCTTCTTTTCTCTTTTGATATTTCTGTAATGTTTATTAGCAAGTATTGAAGTTTAAATATGTTATTAAATTAAAAAAAGTTGTGGGAAATCTTTGAAATAGATAATAATATAAAAATATGTCATATATTTTTTCGGCATTTCTTCCCATCAGAAGATTTTCAGATACAGAAGAATTGTTACTTACACGAAATGTGAAAATATTCTGTTTCCAAGCAAAAAAAACTCATATTTTCCTAAATACATCTCTGTGAAACTATGGCGAGTGCCACGACTATACTTTGCCTAGTTATAGACCACGTCTATACAGCTACGTCAGTGGTCACGGGATGCGAGAACAAGGTCATATAAAGTGGCAGATAAAGAACAAAGGATTTGACAAGGAGTAAATCTACTAGTTTTCGTTTTCCTTATACTATGGTTCGACTGCAAGGTCTGCTAGTTATATTTTTTAAGCTTAAAGTATCACAACAAATTTACTTAAACCAAAAACTCGCAATACAAAACTAAAGTGTCAAAACGTGACAATGTCAGGAAATAAATAAATAAATGTGGCAACTAGACATTTTTTACAACAGAGCTACCACCTAAATCCCCAGCGGGAAATTTAAAATTCCAGTTAGTCAGCCCGGCGCCGAAAATGTCCATGGTTGACAACAATGGATTTAAAAATCGCGCCCTCGATTACGAAACTAAAAGTTTAATTGCTATCCAATATAGTTAAACATGCAATAAATATTGAATTTGTCAAATAGAGCGTTAAAATCTATGTATGAACTAAACCTAATTTTTTTTATTGTACAAAATTAATATTTAATAAATAAAGATTGTTAAAAAATCTTTGACTGAACTACTACTGTATTTTTTATAATACAGGGTGTTTAAATTATAACACTAATTACAAAGTAATCAACTAATCTTTTCATCGCTACTAACAACAACTATTATTTTTAATGATTACATCTCTAGAGGAACACCAATTTCTTAATTTACTGTTTTTAACATTTTTATTTTGTAAAAACTACTAAATAATTAGTAACTAAAATAAAATACAATTTAAATATTTCTAAAATTTAAAAGTCATGTGTTTAGTGGCGATGATCTTAGATGATTCTAAAAAGAATTTAAATATAATTTTGTTCATAAACGAATATCAAAATTGAAATATTCTGTATAATATAGTTATGTGAATGTATATATTAATGCAAATTATGTTTTTGTGTATGTAAATATTATAACATAAGAAACACCGACGCTAATAATGTTATGTATAAACGATTTTTATCCTAAAAATAGTTAAAAATTATTATTTATTCTAATAAAATGCTTTTTTGGAACAAAATATTTTTTGGTATTATTTGGAAATCGACGTCATGGTAGGCGTAGCTAGGTACTGCACGTAGCTAGGTACTGCACTCACTAAAGCACTTGTGAAATAATATCCTATAAAACAAGTATTTTAGAGACTATTCCTTTAAGTTTTCCTATTTTTTCTTAATAAACTTTCTTTGTTAAAAAGCTAGTTGTATCCTCATTTCAATCATTTCTGACTGGACTATATAAAATTTTAATTAAAAAAAAAACAATGTGTACACTATGTGCGCATATTTGAAGTGAACCTTCTTACTAACAACTATTAAATTGAAGAGGATTTGAAGGAATTTTTTTTTTTCAATTTATTTCTGTAATCTGTACATTTTCTGTTTCCTCAATGGCCTGAAAATTTTGTGAAATACCACCCAAAATACACACTTTTATGTAAACGCCTAATAATGTTAAAGCCCCTTAAAATTTACTTAAGAAAAGAAAAAAAAATTAACCTAACCAATATTCGTGTGGTCTGTTTTTGTTTAAATATTTTGTACATTATTTATAGTAATTTACAGTAATTTTGTTAAATTATATGAATTTTTCGTTGATTATTGGTTTGAAATAAATGTGACAATGTCCTTCAATGAAAATGCGAGTTGCTTAACTCTACTGTTCGTCTTGCTAGCTCGTTTGTCACGGCCTTGAATTCTTTGAGATCATTGAATTTCCCAGAGCGTGTAAAGCAGTTTTTGCTGAATATTTCATTCATGTACCAAAAATCCCATATGAAGCGGGTAATTTTCGGCGAAAATTGCCCGAAAATATAATATTAAATTTAATCCTTTTACTGACACCGAATTTAAAATATCCCCTAAGGCAAAAAGTGGCAAGAGGAAGGAATTGCAGATGGACCCTCTAAAAAGAAAAGAAAGCTCTAAGACACTCAAATACGAAGAATTCAAATTGATAGTACGAAATTGTAATGAAGAATGTCCCGATGGTTTGTAAAAAAAAATATTTTTTGTATTATCCTACGAATTGGTATAGCGAGGGGGAGAGGGAGGAAAATGTTTTGTCTCCTATTTTAAAGACGATATTGATAATATAGGACAACCCACCGGTCGCATTGTATACAACCCGATATTCGATAAAACCACTCAAGGAGGAGATAAACCTTGTGCTCAAAATCGTCAAAATGACTGGTCATAAATAGAGGTCAATCGGATATGTGTCCAGTAAGGCTATTCAAAAAAATTATGGAAAAAAGAAAATTAATTAATATTCCAAGATTGTTTTTAACTGTAAATCTTTCCTGGAAAATGGGTAAATGGTTCAAGAACCTTCCTGTTGGGAAAAATACGATTGCTCAATGGGTGTTTGTCGAAGCGAAAAAATCAGGTTTGGCTACGGAGAAAGTAAAAATTACTAATCATTCGCTACGTACAACAGCTGTGTCGAAACTAGCAAAGAAGGGGGTTGAGGAGAACACAATAGTCAAAATAACTTGGCACGCAAACCCGAAGTCAATTAAACCTTACCTTCAACTCACTTCTTCCTCTTGGCAAGATGGCGGCGCCGGCGGCAAGTCTGGAAATGTGCATTTTATGGATTTTATGGCTGTATGTATGTATGTAGTTAGGAACCTCAAAACCTGTAAACCTGCAAAGTTTCAAAACTTCCGGACTTTCTTCCAAGCAAGCTCCTTTTTTGATTCCCAATGACCGAATTAACATGCTTTCATGAAAAATTATGGGTAATTTTGATGCACTTGGGTAATTACTTCCGAAAATTTCCTATAATCTTCTAACACAGTGTTGCCATGTCATGTCAATGATTGCTGATTGCTTTGAGTTGTAATAAATCAACAGTTAACAGTTATATTTACAGTTATTTTTTAACCCTCTATGTTTACTTATTTTTCTTAGGGATGAAGTTTCAATGTGCAAAATCCCATACATTCTGTACAACTTTTATTACTTAAAAAAAGCAAAATAACACCATCTCATCACTAATGTAACTTAATGTTTAAATGATTTATATTCACGCTTACTTTTTGGCAACTCCACATCCTGTCTACCAAGAAAAACGGAAGGGTACGTATATATAGAGTGAGTGATTAACAAGAAAAGGCAAAGCTGTAAAATATGTCCGGTGTAAATAGCTATTTATAATTTATTTCTGTTTTTTATAATATATTTTCTGCTTTCGTTGACCGGCTTCTATCAACAACTGAAATCATTAGCGTAGGCTCGTCTGTCACTGTGTAACGAAGTGTCAAAGGGATATGATCGAAAACATCTTCTCAAAGGAAGGTTAAATTTAAAAAAAACACATAGAGAAAAGGTCAGAATAACTTAAATAAAACAATTAAAAATTATACAGGGTGATTCATGTCCATGGCACGTTAGACGTTTATGGAGAACCGGGTGATTTTTTGAAAAATTACAGTGTTGCCGCTTATCTGAAAGGAGCATCTTAAAAATCTTCGACCGAACGCGATGGGGTCCAAAAATGGCCGAATTAAATTCCGGTTTATCAGTGCCGTTTTAATTTTATTCAAAACGTGTAAAAATATGATATAGGGAGAATTAAATAATTTGTTGTTTTATTTTACGTTGTCAATAAATGTTGGTAGTTATTAAAATTGTTAGAAAAACATATAACTCTAATAAAAATAGTTTAGTTAT